TGAACGAAGTGTCCTCAAATAATTGATTGTGAGACATGATCAGTGAAGCATGAAATGAACTGCTCTTTTGGTCCAGAATTTCGTTGTTCTGCCATTTTTCCCTGTAAACCTGTTGAATAGCACACATTGGGGTGGAATGGGATGTCTGTGGACAATGCCTCATTATACTGAGGCCCAGTTCTGAATCTTGGGATGAATGTAAGTGATATGTGATTTTAACCTGGATGTTGATAAATTGAAGAGGGTTCAGAGAAGAGCTATGAGAAGGATTAAAGGATTAGAAAATCTGCCCTTAGTGATAGACTCCGAGTTCAATCTGTTTATCTTAATGAAGAAGAGGTTGAGATGATTTGATTAGTCTATAAATATCAACATAGGGAACACATATTTAATAATGGGCTCTTTAATCTAACAGAGAAAGGTATAACACTATCCAATGGCCAGAAGCTGAAGCTAGACAAATTCAGACTGGAAATAAGGGGTCAGTTACTCTTATGGTTAAAAATCAACCATTGAAACAACTTACCAAGCTTCTTGTTGGACTCTGTCACTGACATATTAAATCAGGATTGGATATTTTCCCAAAAGATGCTCTAGGAATTATTTTTGGGAAATTCTCTGGCCTGTGTTACACAAGAGGTCAGAATGGATGATCACAGTTGTCCCTTTTGGCCTTGGAATCTATAAAGTGAAATGCGAACCAAATTCTTTCCATAGGGTTACTGAAAACCTTGTTTCAAAACTAAATTGGTTCTGTTTGACTCGGAAATTACAAATCCTTCACTTCCTAAAGATGTGTAGGCACAAAATAGATGTGGGGCCTTGTCATCTGTGTTGTGTGACAATGAGTGCTTGACCATCTTAGAATAATGATCAATGGTTAAACACCTTGCCTTATAACAGCCTTTTGGCACATACAAAGCATAATTTCTTTCTTTTCCCTCTTCCTTTGTTTTGAAGAATATTTTGCATTAAAGTAGGAAAGTTTCTAGAGTGTCTCTGCATGCTGCATACTCGCCACCTAAACTTACAATCCTCCTAGAGCAGGGGTGGGCAAACTTTTTTGCCTGACGGACACATCGGGGTTCTGAAACTGTATGGACAGCTGGGTAGGGAAGGCTGTGCCTCCTCAAACAGCCTGGTCCCCGGCCCCTGACTGCCCCCCTCAGAGCCCCCCACCCATCCAACCCCCCCTGCCCCTAATGCCCCCTCCGGGACCCCACCCCCTATCCAATCCCCCCTGGACTCGCTGCCCCTTATCATACCTCCCGCTCCCCGCCTCCTTACCTTGCTACTCAAAGCAGCAGGACTAGCAGCCATGCTGCCCGGCCAGAGCCAGCCACGCCGCCCAGAGTGCTGGCGGCACAGCAAGCTGAGGCTGCGGGAGAGGGGGACAGTGAGGGAGGGGCCGGGGGCTAGCCTTCCCGGCTGGGAGCTCAAGGGCTGGGTAGGACAGTCCTGCAGGCCGTAGTTTGCCCACCTCTGTCCTAGTGTAATATCTCCACAACTGCCACTTTTGACACTGTTTTGAGGGATAGTTGGCTTCATGTCATCACATCATACCAGGGCAGTGTGTGTGATTTAAAAAAAAGAACACTTGAATGATTATGACAATTATGTGGTAATGATAAAACAGGCCTTAAATGATTTTTGGGACTGTTTAAACAGCTGTCAGATTTAGGATTGTCCTGCAGGTAGTATGGTAATTCTCTATCTGATGTTTCTGCATAGAGATTGTAGCTTCAGAAAGGAGGGGAAAGGACTAGAAGTGTTAAGTTGAAAGGGTTTGCTGTTCTGCCTTGAAATAGAGTGAAACAAAAATGAAATATTGAGCAATGTCAGAACTGTCTTCAGAACACTTAATTTTTTAAAAATTCACAACTTTACAATCTGTGTGTGCCTGATGGCTGTTGGACTTTGTGTAGATTTAGAAGCATTAATGTAAGTAGTTAGTAATTTCAACTTCCTTCAAAAGGGTCTTAGTTTCTCTTGAACTAGGGACAACCGTATGTCATATTTACAGCCTTGTGTGTTTACATATGAATTGCACAGCTTTTGACAATTGGAATTCCCAATGCAAATGCTAACACAGCCTTAGCTGTGTAACTGAAATGCGGAGAGGGGAATACAACCATTTTCCAGGACATCTGGAGCTGTGACAGTTTGTTTCAAAGTAAATTGAACCGTGTTCCTAACTCAGTGGGCGGGTTTTGCTTGGTAGCTCAAGCAGTGGACATTCAATATTCCTATTCGGATCCCAGAGTCAGATTAAATATCCAGATCTTCATTCCAAACCATCTTTTGCTTTTAGTCAGACTTGCTATTTTCAAATATTAAAGGGACACTGTAATTTTAAATTTGGCCCAAAATGTAGACTTTTGTAAAAGCAAGATTTTTCCAGCCCAATAGACATCTTTAAATTCATTTCTTTAAATTCAGACAGACTTTTAAAATGACCATTTCTCTTTTGTTCACCACCCAAACACAGCTCTGAGATGTTCAAAATGCAACTGACCCCAAGTTAGAGTGAAACTGACTTACATTGATTTGCATTTTCAAATCTGAGAAAATAATGTAAATACAATATAAGTTGGATTGGATTTTTAGAATTTTCAATGTTTTCAGCAGGAGGGCATATTTCCCAGCCTAAAGACTGTGATATTGGGGTCCGGATTCAATTTGTACAACTGCTTTCAAAAGAAAAGCGGAAATTAAATTGCTGAGAAAGCAATTTTTATTCCATTGACATTCCCCTAACCCAATAGTTTTAAGTCCATTTGACAACTAGGTACAGCAATAACTAACACGCTTGTGTTCTTGATACAAAAATCTGATCAATGCAGAAATTGTCCAAAAAACACTTAAAGCAAGGCTCTTTCCTAAAGGTACACTTGTAATTTGAATATGGGCTTTGGAATATAAAAATAATTTGCAATTAAACATGGTCACAAACTGCTCAAAGATCTAACTGTACTAACTACTTAAATATATAGACTACTCCAATCTTGACGAATGCCATATAGTTGATAAAACGGGGGGATTTGGAGGTTTGTGCTAGTGCTGTAATCTACCAGTAAGCATTTCATAAACACGTGTAGTGAGGTTATCCTAGAATACAATATTTCTGGAAACAAGTACTTAAATCAGCCTGACTCTAGCCTCTCCTCTACAAACTAGTGTACGTGGCTTACTGAGGATAAATAACGTCAATACATACAAAAGTAAGTTAATCCACTTCTGTACTTTTCTCCTGATTACTGCAAGGCAGTCTTTTTCAGCCCAGTGGTCTTGCCCCTTTGTCCCTGATTCTGGTAAGGTGGTTGTATACAAGCTTGCTTGTATGAAACATGCTAAAAATTACCTTTTCCTCTGTTGTGTTGATTTATATACCCAAAGGACAAAATGAGATATGAAGAATTATAGGTTAGATCATTCTATTCACCCATTATGTTGCAGTTCCTTCTGTCTTTCCTAAGGTATCAGAGTAACAGCCATGTTAGTCTGTATTCGCAAAAAGAAAAGGAGCACTTGTGGCACCTTAGAGACTAACCAATTTATTTGAGCATGAGCTTTCGTGAGCTACAGCTCACTTCATCGGATGCATACCGTGGAAACTGCAGCAGACTTTATATATACACAGAGAATATGAAACAATACCTCCTCCCACCCCACTGTCCTGCTGGTAATAGCTTATCTAAAGTGATCATCAGGTGGGCCATTTCCAGCACAAATCCAGGTTTTCTCACCCTCCACCCCCCCACACAAATTCACTCTCCTGCTGGTGCTAGCCCATCCAAAGTGACAACTCTTTACATAATCAAGTCGGGCTATTTCCTGCACAAATCCAGGTTTTCTCACATCCCCCCCACCCCCATACACACACAAACTCACTCTCCTGCTGGTAATAGCTCATCCAAACTGATCACTCTCCAAGTTTAAATCCAAGTTAAACCAGAACATCTGGGGGGGGGGGGGGGTAGGAAAAAACAAGAGGAAACAGGCTACCTTGCATAATGACTTAGCCACTCCCAGTCTCTATTTAAGCCTAAATTAATAGTATCCAATTTGCAAATGAATTCCAATTCAGCAGTTTCTCGCTGGAGTCTGGATTTGAAGTTTTTTTGTTTTAAGATAGCGACCTTCATGTCTGTGATTGCGTGACCAGAGAGATTGAAGTGTTCTCCGACTGGTTTATGAATGTTATAATTCTTGACATCTGATTTGTGTCCATTTATTCTTTTACGTAGAGACTGTCCAGTTTGACCAATGTACATGGCAGAGGGGCATTGCTGGCACATGATGGCACCAGCAGGAGAGTGAATTTGTGTGGGGAGTGGAGGGTGAGAAAACCTGGATTTGTGCTGGAAATGGCCCACCTGATGATCACTTTAGATAAGCTATTACCAGCAGGACAGTGGGGTGGGAGGAGGTATTGTTTCATATTCTCTGTGTATATATAAAGTCTGCTGCAGTTTCCACGGTATGCATCCGATGAAGTGAGCTGCAGCTCACGTAAGCTCATGCTCAAATAAATTGGTTAGTCTCTAAAGTGCCACAAGTACTCCTTTTCTTTTTCCTAAGGTAAAGAGCAGTACAGGTTGATAACACTTATGTGTTTTTTCTTGCCTGTGACTCTCTCAAATTTAATTTTCAAAAATTCAGTTTTAAGCTAAGGTGGCTGTTACGCCAAAAAACATTGATTTCTAAGCTGCCCCTTTAAAGTTTTCTCCAACTACATTATTTGGTGGGCAGAAACCATGAGAAGTGAACATGCCTGAGGGGTAAATCCCTTCTGGATGACAGATGGCAACAAAAGATGCTGCTCTTGACAGATACCCCTGACTTGCTGTTATCCCTGTGGTAGATAGGAGGATATGCCTAGATAAATGTCATTAGGATGTGTGGAGAGGAGATAGGAGGTGGCAGTGGGGTGAGCGTCTGACAGACTGGCATAACCCAGCATTTGCGCTTTATTAACCATTCCATTTTGGATTTTCTAGGTGCACCAGAGGCTTTCTCCATGGCAGAGCTTGAGAGTGGTGCATTGCAGTACAGTAGTGCCCTCTGATGGTGAGTTTTGGCAAAGAATTTTTATTCTTGTTTCTGAATGACTTTCCAACTTAAATCACCCAGTGTGGTTGTTTGTTTTTCCTGGGATGCAATCCAGTTTTTCTCCAGGGACTGGGGTGGAGAGGAAAGGGCAATGCTAAGACAACAGCAGTCTGAAATACTGTTCATAGAGTGGCTTGTGTAAAATAAAATAAAAATTGGGCTGCCCCAATATCTTTTGTTGAAGTTTGGATAAATGCATGCACATAATCCTTCTAGGACAGCTGCTCCTTTTCTTTTCCTGAGTTTTCTCTAGTTCTGCTTCACCATGGTAGCACCCTCCCTCTGGGAAGGAAGGAGGAAGATAAAAGGATTTTTGTTCATCCTCAGTTCCATTTCCTGACTTGAGAAGAGAGTGGTCATTTTTTTTTTCAGAAAGGCTTGATCAATGTTCATGCCCAGAAACCATACATCACATCCGCAGCCCACCTCGTTTGCTTATGTGAACTAGGAGTCTTGAAGGTCACTCTCATCTTACAGAATGTTGTGTAGCTGTGCCACTAAACCAATCCGTGGCTTTCTTTTTCAAAATAGCTACTGAGCCCCAAGTATAGCACAATTTTACTTTTACTCTTCCTATACCTTTCCTCTTCCTCCCTCCAAACAAGCCGTAGCCTTTCATACCAGCTCCCTCCAGAGCCAGTCTGTGCTGCTTTTGAAATAGCTGAACACCAGTCCAGCAAAGCATCTCCTTGCCTCACCCCACCTGTGTACTTCTAGGTCAACGGGATCTAGGAAAGTTGTGGAGGCAATGCAATGGATTAGCCATGTTTTACCCCAAAATAGAGATGAAATGATCATTCCAAGAGATCAGAATTTACAAACTGGCATTAAAAACTTCCATGTTAAAACAAACTGCAAAAGAAGGCACTCCTTATAAATGTTACTTTAGTTTCCTGTTATTTAAGTAAGCCACCTATCCAGAACAAAAACCTTGTCTTAATCTTTGACAAGCATGTTTAGATTTTATTGTTATACAGGTCAGGGCCCATCTTACTGTATAGGGCAGTGGTTCTCAAACTTTTGTGCTGGTGACCCCTTTCACATAGCAAGCCTCTGAGTGCGCGCTCCCCCCCTTAAATATATCAAAAAGTGTTTTTAATTTGTAACACCATTATAAATGCTGGAGGCAAAGTGGGGTTTGGGGTGAAGGCTGAGAGCTTGCAACCCCCCATGTCATAACCTCAGGACCACCTGAGGGGTCCTGACCCCCAGTTTGAGAACCCCTAGTATGGGGGGGGTTACATGCTTTTTACATTTGCATGCAGTGGAAGAAGTAATTGTAATTGAAATCTCCCACAACACAGCCATGCAGTTTCAAGCTAAAAGAAGCATTAATATACATTCCTGCCCCACCCCCAAAAATTGTAAGTGGATCAGAATTCAAAGGGGTCATTGCCAAAGGTCCTTGTGCTAGATCTCCAGTTATATGTACATTTGAAGAAAAATCTTTGGAGAGCAATTTTGTAGTCTTGTATCCCAAAATAGGTCTGCATGTTAGTGAAAACGTACAGTATAACAAGTGCTCCAAATGGCAAATATTTCCTGCTGAGAGAATGAATAGCCCAAACATTTTGTATAGATCTGGGATCTTAATTAAATTGGTGGATAAACTAAATACAAGAGAAACCAGTCACCATTTGACAAAAAATGTAGACACTGGGACCTTGAAAAGCCAGGGAGGTTTTCTGTAAGGAGTGTTCTTTCCCAGCATTGGGATCACGTCTAAGACATGTGTGACCAGGACATCATCTGAAATTAAAATATTTCCAGTCTCTGATGTAACAGTTTGTGCTGCCAGTGTGCAGTATAACAGAAAATGTGAGTGTGAATTATGCATCAATAGAAAACAGTCAATAAGAAGCCCCATTTATTGGATAACTTGAGAGGTCTCTGATAAGCTAACTCTCAAAGGTGAAAGCAATTTTTTTTGCTTGGGAAAATAATCTGTGCCATGATTATGTGAGAACCCAGGGAGGTCATTAATAATAATTTGCTGAAATTCACTCTGAATGTTTTGAGGCATTAACTTTAACCAATATGTGAGCTCTTTGCCATATACATTTCTACAGACAGAGTTTTTCTTTCTCTAAGTGTAATGGTGTAGAAAAGAAAGTTATGTATCCCTTCTTTTCAGTGAAGTGCAAATTTTGATGTAGGAGAATATGGATACCCCTACACTTTCGGAAGTTATATTTATTCTAGTCAGGACTGTTTTACAGCTGCATAAGTAAGATGAGTTTACTTTGAACAACTGACACTTTGCATATAGATTACATAATCAACAACCACTGGCTTGGATTTTTTCATCACACCATGTAAAATACAACACAGTATTAAACCTGTGATGGTATAATTTGAGTGTTTTAAATTCAAGTTGTAGATCTCCAAGTACCCTGATGAGGCTCACTCTAAGTCAGATAGAGAGCGTAATAAAAAGTAGCAAAAGAAATGTTACTATAGAAATCCTAGCAATTTAATGCAGGCTCTGATCCATAGACAAATCTCAAACCATTGGGAGTTATAGATAGAGGTTCCCAATTGCTTATTGGAATAGAAAGACACAAACTCTGGTTCTCTCGAAGATGAACTCCAGCAAACGCCAAGGAATAGCCTAGCAAAGGCTAGCCACATGACCTGCTAACTTGGAAAAGTAAACTTATGTTCTAGAGCACAAACTAGCATTAAAGAGGGAAAGGTGGTGTGTTTTGACAATAATTCTATGAATCCAGCCTGAGAACCAGATCATGCAACTTCAGTGAAAAGGTAGTGGTATAATTAAGTTATGGTTGACATTTTCCTAAAATATCAGGATTAAAATCTTTTTTCTGAATTCCTGAAACTGTTTTGTTACCTTACAAACCAGCCTTTGCTTTGTGCAATGTTTAAAAAAAATGCATATTTTTCAGGGATAATACTATTATCACAGGTTTTTAATCTTTGGAATTTTGTATGTTGTATCATATTGTTTCTCCTAAGATTTTTGACAAATCATATAAATCAAAATGGTATACAGGTCTGCGTTGTTGTTCTCTGTAACCTGCTGCTTCACTGTTTTTGGCAGATGAATATTCATTTAATCAAGTGTTCGTAATTTGTTAGTTGAGCATTGTGATTTGTTTCCCAGAGACAGCATTCGATTACAGCTACTAGTTCCTTAATGTTTTTGGGGCTCTTCTTGACTTTGTACTGTCTCCGCAGGTGACCACACCTTGTCATTGCACTGAATTACAGTGTATGGGCCTCCACTTTAGATGCAGAGTTTCCTCAAACACACATGATAACTATGAAACTGAGGTTATACATAACTGTTACGGAATTTAAATATGCCTCATAGATGCTTCTGGTTGCCATACTGTCCCCTTGCCTTAAGACTTTGTTATACTTCTTAAAGATGCAGCTTAGCATTAGAAGCTGCAATTCTTGCATATGTAGTTCTGTTTGCCCCTTTACCTAGGTATGATGCATTGCATTTACTCACAGGTAGTTGTATGTCTTGAATCTAGATTGTTGCTGTTCAGAATTAGTTCCATGGCTTCCTTTCATATCTTAGCCCTGGTCTACACTAGGTGAGGGGATCGATCTAAGTTACACAACTTCAGCCATGTGAATAATGTAGCTGAAGTCAACATACTTACACCTACTGACCACGGTGTCTTCACTATGGTGAGTCAACTGCTGCCGCTCCCCTGTTGACTCTGCCTGCGCCTCTTGCGGCAGCGGAGTACAGGAGTCGACGGGAGAACACTTGGGGATCGATTTATCGCGTCCAGTCTAGATGAGATAAATCAACCCCCTGCTGGATCAGCCGCTGCCTGCCAATACGGCAGGTAGTATAGACATACCCTTAATTCCACACATGCTAATGCAACATTAACCTTCCCTTGTATGCAGTTTTCTGCTCCACTTACGATATACTGTTCAGTTTGTATGGGTTTTTTGGCATGTCTCCTACTGATATTTCTAAAAGGGCATGGTCCCAGTTTCAGTCCTACTAGTTTGAAAGGATGAGCAATACAGGCGGGATGATCATTTTGCAACATGCCTGTGAAGAGTAGCGTAAGGTATGTCAGCAGCACAACTGTCTGTATACTGATCTACACATAGAAATTGTATCAACTTAACTAGATCAGTTTCTAAATAGCTTCACTTAAATCAGTGCATCTCTCCCTTGTATAGACACTGCTAAATCAGTTTTGATTTTAGCAGTCCTAAAACTGATTTAAGAACAGTAACACCAGGAAGTTGCACCAATTTAATTAAATTTATTTAGAAAATTATTCTGTTAAATAAGTGCGGGTTTTGAGGCCTGAGATACTGATGAACTAATGTTGGACTAGATTACTATAGGTGCCTGGGTTTTATCTTCAGACATGATAAACACTATGCCTAACATAAAAATTCAAAGAGCATGAAGTTTTGCATATTTTATTAGAAATATATACTGCTAACCCTCTATTTTCCCGTACTTCATTAGTCAGCGACTGTTACTTGGAAAACTTGACCAACTAATAATGGGTAGGTAGACAGCTTTATTTTATCCCACTCTCTCACTCCATCTGTTCATTTTAGAGTGTAAGCTGTTGGAGCAGAGACTGTCTTTCTATATATGGACAGCCCCTAGCACAATGTGGATGCTGTGATCATGCAAATAATAAAATAACTTAACTTATGTTTGGGACAAGGAATTATGAGTCACACAGAAATCCTCATGCACCTGTGTGAAAATGCACCTCAGAACACTTAAAAAATTGAGAATTACTTTGTCTCCAGCTTAGCCTATGATGATTGTCAGTATAAGTGTTGTTTTTTCTCCCCTTCCTATTTCTATGTATGAGTGATATAGCATTAGACGGAATACCTTCTGTTGGGGGCTTATTCCTATACTTCCCTGGTCCTTCTCGCATGAACAGAGAGCAATAATACCTGAAGTCCAAAGGTGCAAACAATTTGATGTTTATTGGGGTGAACTTCCAGCAAGCATGATTCCAGTTTCCTTCCTTAGTGTCTCCCTTCCCAGCTCTGACACCACAGAGCCTTACCTGTGTCCCTGTTCCCATTGCCCCCTCAGCAAAACATGATTCCAATTTCCTCACCCCCATTCCCCCATTAGCAAAACGTGATTCCAATTCCCCACCCCCATTCCCTGTTCCCATTTCCCCCACTGCTTCCTGATTGACTGCAGACTATATATTAAAACGTGAGTTCTGCTTAGCTATACCTTAACCAATCATTTTACTGAACTTTAACTAACCAATCCTAACATATTGTAACATGATTATGTCACCAATTATATCCCACCACCTTAATTAGTTTACACCCAGCAAAATTAATTATACAGCAGACAGAAACAATCACAGAACCAGAGACAGATTATACAGACAAACAATAGGGAAATGGGGACTACAGTGATAGAACAACAAAGAAATGAGCATTTCACATCCCAGCTATTGATAGGTGAGTTCTTGCCAGACAGGATGCTCACAAACTAAGTTTCCTTTTACATCTTCTAGGGACTTCCCTTTCTCTGGAGGCGATAGGCATTATCAGGACAGGATTGTATTCCTAACAGCCCAATAGCACCTTATTTCAATGTGACTAGTTTGGAATGTGAGGATGTGACCCTTAGCTTCCCAGCTTATGGCTGCCTCTGCTGCTTAGCCAAAGGCCTTAGCCTAAGAACAGGGCCTCAGAGTGTCAGTGAGAAAAGGCCTTATACAGTCAGACAGTAATTTTGATTCTCTCTTTTATACCTCTGGAACTAGCTAAGTGATAAGAATACACCTAAATTCTTTGAGTATAGGCCTTTACAGAAAGTCCTGAATATCTATATCCTAACATCTTCTAGCTTATAAAACTGATGGAATATTGTCTCTGATTTCAGAGTTCTGACTGGCCTCTTACTGGTCCTACTTAATGCTGATTTGTTCATTCAACACAAATAGGGGGAAATGGAATTAGAGTAAAAACATAATTTTTCTAAAGCATGTCCTTTTGCTGGGTCTCCTAGTGTGTGATCTGTCTTTATTTCAGGGAGATTAGAACCTGAAAGACCATCTGTTTTGTCTTGCTAAGTACCGAATGTTTGGTGCTTAGATTAAAGAACATTTTTTATCACGGCTGCTATTAATTACCATGCACTCTTGTCCAATAGCTACACTTTCATCGTATTTCAAAGAATCACACTCCACTTTAAGACTTTCCAACAAAGCACCAGAAAGTTAATAGATGCTGTGAACTTGTGGGGAGGGAGAACTTCTGATACCCTTCAACACGAAGATTGATAAGGTTGCCTGTATAGTAATGAACAATAATTCAAAACTTGAAGCTTCCACTTTAATATTTAACCATCCCTGTCATGTCTTCATGGGGACAGATACAGGATTGTTACACAAGGTACTTTTTTTCTTTTTTTATACTGTGTATTTGGAAATGGTCTGTCTTGAGTCTAATATTCTTTTCTCTAGATGTGACAGTGGTTTACCAAAATGGGTTACCTGTGATTTCTGTGAATCTTCCATCTCGGCGTGAGCGTTGCCAGTTCACGCTTAAACCTATCTCAGACTCTGTTGGAGTGTTCTTACAACAGCTGCAGACAGAGGACCGGGGAATTGACCGGGTCGCAATCTACTCCCCAGGTACAGTTATTTATGCAAACAAATTGACTACTCATAGCACCTTATTCCATCCAACTATAGCACCATTTCAGGCCTTAAACTTTTTTAAAAGTAATGTCTTGATCATATTTACCAGTGGAAGTGCAGCCTCCAAGATAGGAAGTATTCTGTTTTCTGAGTGCATGCTCATATATTTCATGGACAGGCTAGACAGTGATATGGAGGGAGTGTGGACATTTCTAATACCAAACTTCAACTTAGAAACTTCTTATTGCTAGAGCTATAGTTTTCTTCTTACCTTCGTATCTCACTCTCAGAAAAAGGCAGAGTCCTGTGGCACCTTATAGACCGACGTATTGGAGCATAAGCTTTCATGGGTGAATACCCACTTCGTCGGATGCATGTAGTGGAAATTTCTAGAGGCAAGTATAAATATGCAAGCAAGAATCAGGCTAGGGATAACGAGGTTAGTTCAGTCAGGGAGGATGAGGCCCTCTTCTAGCAGTTGGGCCTCATCCTCCCTGATTGAACTAATTTCGTTATCCCTAGCCTGATTCTTGCTTGCATATTTATACCTGCCTCTGGAAATTTCCACTACATGCATCCGACAAAGTGGGTATTCACCCATGAAAGCTTATGCTCCAATACGTCTGTTAGTCTATAAGGTGCCACAGGACTCTTCGCCACTTTTACAGATCGAGACTAACACGGCTACCCCTCTGATACTTGACTCTCAAAAAAGTGATTCGTAATGAAAACTACATGGAGCAGAAGCACGCTAGCCCTTGCTGCAGCATTAGTTACTGTAACTGTGTGAATGTAACAGCTCACACAACCTCATTTTTAAAAGTTGCATAGGTATTCGGGAGTTTAATGGTTGAGGATGTCAAAGTGGCAAAGAGGAGCTTCACATTAATACCTCTGAATGAGAATCATTTTAGCAAAAAAGATTAAATCAAAGTACCGTAGGACAGTTTAAAAAACTACTTTGAAAATAGAAATATAAACATCTATCAATTATCTTGTTTTCCCTCCCCCTGCCTATCAGATCCAAACATCTAGAAAGGTGTTGGCATTTTTCTCACTGTGAAAATTAGGTCTCTTTTTTTGTAAAGAATTGATAGTGGCACCAACATCCAAATATGAGAGACTACCCATGGAGACATTCTATTGAAAGAAGTCCGAGAAGAGTCACTTTTTTCCTTGCTGTGGTCTTCACAAAATTAGATCATTCCAGGAAGAGTAGAAAGGGTCTGCTGCTGAAAGTATTTTTTCTTTAAATATATTTTTAAACCCTACAATCTAAACGTATTCGATCAGTTGAAATTCTGTTTAGCAAGCAAATGGTTTTGCTTTAATAGAGATGCTCCCTCATGAACTTGTGTAGATAGCTTGTGCCCTGTCTCTAAACAAGTTTATTAATCATGCAAAGGGTACAGTTGCTCAGATAAGCTGCCTTTTGGCCACTATAAGTCCTGGTTGTGGTTACCCTAACGTCTAGTCTGAAGGCATGGCAGGAGTGTACTTAAAAAACCTGATTATTTAGAGACTCTTCTAGTGACACAACTGGAGCCCTCTAATCAATTTGCGAGGAGGAGTGTTCATAGAGCAAAGTACACTCAAGTACTGTGCTTAGATCACCCATGGTGTATGCACCACCACAACTTTAAAACAGTTGTTATTCTTCTAGCGATTGCTCATATCCATTCCAAGTAGGTGTATGTGTGCCGCATGCATGATCGTCGGAAGGTTTTTCCCCTAGTGGTATCCATCTGGTCGGCTGTGGAGACCCCTGAAGTGCTGCCTTTGTGGCCATGTATATAAGTTCCTTCTTACCACCAGTGACAGTCATTGTAGCAGCTCTTTCTTGCATTTGCAAGTGCTTCCCTAGTGGTCTTCTTTCTTGTCTATCTGTAAATAGTTATGTGGCTTAGTTGTAGTTAGTTAGGTTTACGTTGGGGGTCGCCCCACATAACCCCTTCCCCAAGACCGGGGCATGCCTTCGTCTCAGGGCTTCAAGTCGTGCTCGTCATTCCTTAAGTCTATGTCCAAAGGGGGACCACGTGATTTCTGTCTTAAGTGCCTGGGTGAAAATCACCAGTCTGACAGGTGCAATATCTGTATAGGCTTTACCTCCAGAACTAAAAAGGAACGGGACTCTTGGCTGAAACTCCTCCTCATGGAGTCAGCCCTTCACCCCCAGGCAGTTTTGGACCCAGCACCAGGAACTTTGGTGCACAGTGCATCAGCCTAGGTGCAGGAGGCTTTGGCACTGAGGGAGGACTCATCTAAGGAGCCCCAGCACTACCATTCCTTGGCGCCGAGAACCAGCTCCAGCGTGCGGCATCTCTCGCAATCCCCGGTGCCACACAAGGAGAAAAGGGCTGATGGGGGCGCTCCCTTACCAAGCTATCAGAGTGTGCAGACACCAGTGGGATGCGTCCCACGTCGGGACACCCAGCCTCAACCCTGCCTATGCCGGCGCTGTTGACTCCAGCTTCATGGGAAGGTACATTGAGTGTGATCCTGGTGGACTTCCTGGTACGGGAGGAACCGGAGGAGGATCTGGGTCTTCCCTCCACTTTGGACACGTTCGAGGCAGCAAGGGACCTGATTGCCATGATGGCAATCAAATCGGCCTGCACACCGGCACCGACAGCAGCAGCAGCAGCACCGATGCTTGTCCACCACAGGAGCAAGCCCACTATGATGTGGCACCATTCCCCAGCACTGTCTGGGTCCGCTCCACCATGGTCAGGCTCGGACTTTTCTTCTGAGTCAGAGGCGGATTCCTGTGTTTCTCACCAGAGCCGGTACCACTCCCAGCACTGATCCGGGTGCCACCCCAGGCAGGATGAGGGGCAACCAGTGCCCATAATGTCCTGGTCCCCTCAGTGGCCATTTTGGACACCAAGGGCCTATCACCAAGCCCAAGTGTCGGGGTCCAGGGCCCAGGTGTCAGAGGCCCGTGCACCTCCATTGGCCTCCTCAGTCACCCGAGAATCCCCTCGGGGTTGGGATGCACAGGCTCAGGCCGATGAACCAGCAAGACAGGTATGACTGATACGAGCGCCGGCTCTGTACCCATCGCGGCACTGGGTACCCCCGCAGCCACCTGTGCAACGCAAGGGGCCAACACCCAGGCAGCAGCGCACATACCCTCTTCTTCTCTCCTCCTTCCTCCCCCCCCCCCCAGTGAGCTGGAGGGTCTGAAAGACCCCATGCCACCAAAGGGATCATCTTCTTCCTCCCCTGATGAGGCAGTGGCAGGGACATCCACCAGATTGCCTGCCATGGACGTTAGAGCCCATCAGGACCCTCTTAGGAGGGTGGCCCAAAACCTTAATTTGCAAACTGAGGAAGTCCATGGAGGACAACGGACCTGATGGTGGATATTTTGGTCCCAGAAGGGCTATCAAGGGTATCCTTGCGCCTTGTTAAAACTATCCAAAACACTGCCACGGTATTGTGGCACACTCCTGCCTCTATTCCGCTAACAGCCAAGGGGGTAGAGCAGAGATATGTTGTGCTGTCCAAAGAATACGAGCAACTGTTTACCCACCCCCAGCCTGGGACCCTGGTGGTGGAGGCAGCTTACCATAAGGAGCAGCAGGGGCAACTGGGGCCCATACCTGAATCCAAGGAAGCCCAAAGCTGGACCTCTTCGGTTGGAAAGTATACTCCACCCGAGGGCTCCAGCTTCGGATAGCTAACCAGCATGCAGTCCTAAGCCGCTATGCTTATAATTCCTGCAACACTTTGGCGAAGTTTCAGGAATTTCTCCCAGCGGACTAATGCTCCGAATTCTCAGCAGTCCTGAAGGAGGGCAAGGTGGTGGCCAGGACATCTCTGCAGCCGCCCTGGACTCCACTGGCTGAGCTATCCACGCTATGGCCACAGCAGTGACTATGAGATGCAGCTCTTGGCTCTGGGTTTCTGGGCTCCTGCAAGAGGTCTAAAATACAATCCAGGACCTGCCCTTCAACTGCTTGGGCCTGCTTGCAGAGCAGACTGACTCAAGGCTGCATAGCCTTAAGGACTCATGGGCAACCCTTAAGTCCCTGGGGCTTCACACACCGGCCCTTCAAAGAAAGCCGTTTAAACCCCAGACCGCCATACTATGTTACTCTGCCCCTCGTAGGCAGGGTTTCAGTAGAAAGCGGGGCAGGAGTAACAGGAGGCGCCCATCGCAATCCTCCTCGGGCCAGGGCCAGGGCTTGGCTAAACAGTAGTCAGGAGCAAAGCCAAACTTTTGAAGGTGCACCTAAGGACAGAGCACCAGCTCAATGCCTGGATCCGTTCCCTCCCTTCGTGAAGCATCTATCCCATTTCTACCATATCTGGTCTCAAATCACCTCTGACCAATGGGTCCTGAGCACGTGGAATTGGGATATTCTCTCCAATTCTGTTCCTTCCTGCCCTCCCACCCACCTTCCCTGTCCCTCTTCAGGGACCCTTCTCACGAGCAACTCTTTATGCAGGAGTTGCAATCGTCCTTCTGCTCCAGGCAGGAGAGGAGGTTCCTCTGGAATTCAGGGGCAGAGGGTTCTTCTCCCGTTATTTTCAAATCCCCAGGGCCATGGGTGGGCTCAGGCCTGTTCTAGACCCACGAAATCTCAACAGATTCATGATGAAAATGAAGTTCTGCATGGTTTCCCTGGCTTCCATCATCCCTTCCTTGGATCTGGGGGACTGGTATGCCGCCCTTGACTTGAAAGACACATACTTCCATGTCTCCATAATCCCGTCCCACAGACATATTCTGCAATTTGTGGTCAGAGGCCAGCACTGTCAGTTCACGGTCCTCCCATTTGGACTATCAGCAGCTCTTAGGTGTTCACCAAGTGAGTGGCAGTCTTTCTTCACAGGCACCAGGTGCAAGTCTTCCCATACCTGGATGATTGGCTCATCGAGGGGCAATATCGAGCTCAGGTGGAGGAACACATGATCCTGGTGCGGACACCGTTCCTCAGACTCTCTCATCCTCAATGTGGCGAAATCAACCCTAACCCCCCACTCAGAGAACAGAGTTCATTGGGACCCTCTTGGACTCCACCCAAGCCAGGGCATCCCTTCCCTGACCCTAAGTGCCATTATCAAAGGTCTCCATCAGTTCCTAACCACAACAGCCAAGAATTGCCTAAGATTGCTGGATCATATGGCAGCTTGCGCCTACGTAGTGCAGCACACAAGACTGCGACTCTGCCCTCTCCAGGCACGGCTGGTTCAGGTGTACAGGCCGAGCCAGCACCTGCTGGACAGGCTGATCACACTCCCTCCTCGGGTCTTCCAGTCCCTCCTGTGGTGGCTACAGCCGCAGGTGGTCTATGTGGGAGTATCTTTCTCCAAACCACAGCCGTCGCTGTCACTAGTCATGGACGCGTCGGTGCTGGGGTGGGGGGCACACCTTGGCGACGTCAGGACTCAAGGTCTATGGTCCCAGGTAGAACTATCACTGCACATCAATGTCAGGGAGCTACGAGTGGTGCGTCTAGCTTGCCAGACATTTCAGGCCTGTCTTCAGGGTAAATGTGTTTCAGTGTTGACAAACAACATCACAATGATGTTCTATATAAACAAGCAGGGTGGTGCTTGACACCTTCTTCAGGGAACTGCTCGGGAGTCACCTACTTGGAATTGACATGAGCAATCACTTGAAGAAAAAACTATTACCTACCGTTCATAACTGTTGTTCTTCGAGATGTGTTGCTCATGTCCATTCCAAGACCCACCCACCTCCCCTCTGTTGGAGTATCCGGCAAGAAGGAACTGAAGAGGCGGCAGGTCAGCAGGGACCTATATACAAAGCCGCGAAGGTGCCACTCTAGGGCCTGCACAGCTAACGCAATGGGTACCATTAGGGGAAAAACCTTCCAACGATCGCGCACGCGGCATGTACATACTTACTTGGAATGGACACGAGCAACACATCTCGAAGAACAACAGTTACAAAGAGTAGATAACCGGTTTTTACTGTGGGGTCACAGAATGATCACACACACAAATAGATATATTTCTAGAAAGTCTTTGATAGGAAATTCAAAAAGGAGGACCCCTCTGGGTTGGAGGTGTCAAAGCTGTTGTCGCTTCTTACATAGAGGGTGGTAGAAATCATATTTTACAGCAGTATGATTAGTAGAACCCTGCGCAGATACAAAACTTGTACCTGCATCCAGTCCGCAAATATGGTCCGCAGATATCTGCAGATTTGCAGTGCTCAAATGATTAGATACAGGGCATCCAGTGTCTGTACTATTGCAGAACATGGTCGCATGTTATAATATCCAACTGACAGCAAGACATGACTGGTTCTTGAAAGTTCTAGTTACTAGCCCTCACAAGCTACTGAAGGATTACTTTCTTTTATAAATGATTCAGAAACCGAGTCAGTCCTTGCCAAATCAGGAATATAAACCAGGAGATCTTGCATGGCATGGCAGAGTACTAGCTACTAGGAAATCATTAGAGTTTCTGAATGCTTTCTTAGCCCAGAAATTGTATAAATAACGATGTCAGCTTCTTCTTTAACTGCAGTAATACAGGTGAATGTTTTCTTCTTAATCCTTAATGAGTCCATCTGTGATTTGTCATACAGATGGTACGCGAGTAGCCTCTTCAACTGGCATAGACCTCCTCCTGCTGGATGACTTCAAACTGGTCATCAATGACTTAACATACCATGTTCGACCACCAAAGAGAGGTAAAACCAATTTGTTGCATCTGAAAAATAATTTAAAAAATGTTTAGTAGCAAATTCTGCACTTAGTTATTTAAGGAGTTACTTCAATCTCACAAACTAATTGACATTTAAAAGATGTTTCAAATGAAGGACACTTGTGTAAAAACAGGTTATTTCTAAAGTGAATCTTCCTATTGTCTAATCATCCACTTGAAGTCCTAACTGCAGTGTTTGTATAATTGTATACAGCATCAAACATTTATAAACAAACATCCATCCTGTTCTCAAGCAACACCCCTACTAATAGAGGAATAAATGAAGAAAACTAGTAGAATTGGTTTAGCATTTTTAATATGCAGAGTTAAGCTCTTTAGTTTAAACCCAAAATGTGACCTCTGTTAAAACTACTGTAATCTGGTTTGGAAGAACCCTCCACATACAAATCCTTTCCACCATTCTGACGCACTTAAGTAGTGGAGATTTGTTTTCTGAATGTGGCACCTATACTGTTCCCAACTACCACACATATGTGGCCAGTAGAGGTAGCAAAATCTGACCAGCCGACTCTGTTACCAAAGCTGTGTTGACAGCTGAATGATGCTAGCCCTCAGTGAAATAAACTAAGCAGAGTGTATAAAGGGTTGCAAACAGGGGCAGCACCAGCCATTTCTTTGGGAGGGCGGGGTTGAGCTGGGCTAGTCAGAAAATTGAAGGGGCTGTGCCGTACATCTTGTGGGCGCACGTACGGGAGCATGGAGACTTCTCTGCCCCCACACGGGGCCAGGGAGGAGCATGAGGGCTCTGGCCCCTTGCTGCCTCTTGCTGCACCTTGAGGTTCAGCCCCGCACACCTCACACCGCCTGCTGCCCTGCACCACAGCTCAGCTCGGTGCTAGCAAGCCTGCCACTAGGAGCCCTCGGACAGCCATGGCAGGGGGATCAGACCCCTCCCAGCTCCCCCATGCCCCTGTTGTGATTGCCCTCTCCTCCACTGTGATCCCTCTCCCTTATGCATGCTCCTCCCCGTCTCTCTTGCATGCTCTGTCCCCCCCCATTTGTTATTTCCGTGCCTCCACCCCTTCCCCATGCTCGATATGCTACCCTCACTCCTCCGCTGCTGCTGGTGGCACCGCTGCGTTCAGAGCTGGGTGGCAAGAGAGCGGTGGCTGCTGGCTCAGCACCCAGCTTGGAAGGCAGCACTGCCACCACCAGCAGCGCCGTGCCATACCATGCCACCCTTAATTCTGCATAACATTTGACCTTTGCACGGGGGGTAGCTACCAGAGGGCTAAGGCAAATTTTGGGGTAGCCATAGCCCTTGCTAGCCCCCCTAGCACTGCCCTGGGGTGCAAACCCCTAAATGAAGAGAGGAGAGAAATCAGGGTTTCTCAAGATGAGACGGTGGCATCCTCATCCTCACTGGGCTCATAAGCCGTTTGAGTATGGAACTGGTGCGTTAGTACTGCAGATACCTCTCCTTTATCATTAGGTTGTTAGCCTGCAAGTCAGTGAATCATCCTGTAGCGTAGCTGTGTAAAACAAAAGCTCCAGCTATTTAAATTCTCACATCACAGCTGTCTCTGAACAGACGAGTCAGTGGAGAATTCCCTTTGGAGTCCATCTGCTCACCTCTTTAATGAGCCAGAATGGGTCATTTCCCCACTGAATGAGTACTGAATCTCCCTCCTCACATTCCCACACCCTTACGGGAATGAGAGTAAGAATTTGAACGTGTCTCCTAACCATAACACCAGTGGGACCCTGAGCTCTTCTCAACCAGTCTTAAGACACTATACAAAGTTGATCTGCCCATTAACTTCTCATTTTCCCCTTTGTTAAATCAAATATACAATTGTATACTTTTCTGTGTTGAGAGGAGGAGTTATTTGTCCCAGTGTAGAACAGTTCATGCAACTCTAATACATGATGATGTCGAGTAGACCTAACACTTGACCTGCTAAATTTACACAGCTCAGCACAGACATTAATAGTGCTGGTTCAGATGGAGTCTAGGATCACCGATGCAAATGGAAATTTCCACCTCTGGCCCATTCTCCTAGGGAGAATTCCTTGATTCTGGCTATAAAATTAATATTCACCAACAGTCCCCACCATTAAATTTCATCTAGCTTTTCAGATGTATTTTCATTTTACAAATACTCTTTCAATATATTTTAGAAAATAAATGCTAAGAAACCATAAACTTGAGTTAAAAAGATATTTTCAGCCAAGCATTCAGGTCGAAGCCACTTCCTTTTTAAAAAGTGATTTCTTGTTTACATTAAAGAAAACAGTCTGCTGATCTTTGATCTAAATGAAAGGTGAGAAGTGTGGCTTAATATTGAGCCATCTCTTACAATGGAACTGCTGGCATTAAAGCTACAAATATTTTTTAGTTTTTACTGAATGGATGTTTTTGAAACTTAGCTTGGTTTCCAAGTCTCAGTAAAATCTACAAAACAAGCTAAACCTGAAGATTGTATTCAACTTACTGTATACAAGTTTATATAAGTTCTAACTCAGGGGTGGGCAAACTTTTTGGCCCAAGGGCCACATCTGGGTATAGAAATTGTATGGCGGGCCATGAATGCTCACAAAATTGGGGGTTGGGGTGTGGGAGCGGATGAGGTCTCCAGCTGCGGGTGCAGGCTCTGGGATGGGGCTGGGGATGAGGGGTTGGCGGTATAGGAGGGTGCTCTGGGCTAAGACTGAGGGGTTCAAGGGCAGGAGGGGGATCAGGGCTGGGGCTTGGGGCACGTGGAGAGGGTCAGGGCAGTGCTTACTTCAAGCAGTTCCCAGAAGCAGCAGTATGTCCCCCATCCAGCTCCTATGCAGAGGCGCGGCCAGGCAGCTCTGTGCGCTACCCTATCCACAGGCGCTGCCTCTGCAGCTCCCATTGGCCATGTTTCCTGGCCGATGGGAGCTGCAATGGCGGCACTTGGGGTGGGGGCAGCATGCAGAACCTCCGGCAACCCCTACACGTAGGAGCCAGAGGAGGGGTATGCTGCTGATTCCAGGAGCCGCATGAAGCGGGGCAAGCCCTTGACCCCACTCCCTGGCTGGAGCATGGCAAGCCCCGGACCCTGCTCCCCAGTGGAAGCTCAAGGGCCAGATTAAAATATCTGGAGGGACAGATGCAGCCCCTGGGCAGTAGTTTGGCCACCCTTGCTCTAACTTGCATTGTATTGACAAATTAACACTGGATAACATATTTTAAGGCAGCTGTAATACATGTAAGCGGAATTAAAATTAAGCGTGCAATCTTTTAACATTGCTTTTCATGGCTTTATAGTGCTTGATTTCTCAACCTTACTGTTAAAATTATTGAGGTTTTCTGCATGGAATATATATTAGTTAGTATTTAATTAGATATGACTCTCCTTTACTGGCTTGCTTGATTTTTAATAAACATTCCATATTTGGTGTTGGGATGAAGACTATTCTGTGATTTGGCTATGTTGGAATATTTGGGTATAAGGCAGTATGGCCTTTGGTATCAATTTTTAGGTGCCTCTAGTGTGAAGCATAGCATTCTTCCTAGAAAATGTCATAACTTTGTGAGTTGTAGCTCACGAAAGCTTATGCTCAGATAAATTGGTTAGTCTCTAAGGTGCCACAAGTACTCCTTTTCTTTTTGCGAATACAGACTAACACGGCTGCTACTCTGAAACATAACTTTACTTAAAACTCGAGTGCTGCAGTTCTCTAATAGACTGTTCCATAAATTTTCTAGGCAAGCAGAATAGATACTAATGCAAATCCCTGGACTCCCACAGCTGTTTTGAAGAGTACATGATAACCAATGTGGATAAAGGCACATAAAGCAGTCTCCTTTTTCTTTAGACCTGTTAAGCCATGAAGATGCAACCACGCTGAATGATGTGAAGACATTGGTTCAGCAGCTGTACACCACTCTGTGCATTGAGGAACACCAACTGAACAAGGAAAAGGAGTTGATTGGGCGGCTAGAAGACCTCAAGGAGCAGCTAGCACCCCTGGAAAAGGTGAGATCTCCTATGGAAATCTACTTATCCACTGAGCCCATTTACTTTCATGGTTAGAGTGAAGTCTATCTTAAATGGTGGCCGTAATTGTAGGTTAAGCTTTAAAAACTATTTGAAACGTAAAGACTGGCTCACTAAATGGGTGGAAAGCCATGTGTATGGTCTTCACAGAATAAACAGCATTTGCTGCACAGAGTTGAAAATAAAATGAAATGATTTTTTAAAAATTTGACAGGATGTTTTTAAAACTGGTCACTTCCCAAATTGGCCCCAGACCAAGACCCCACATTCTTGCAAAAAGTGTTGTCATTTTTAAACCATTTTATTTATTTAATTTGATAAGAAAAAGGAAGAAATCACAAAGCAAACAAGACAGGCTAACAAATATTTTGAGCCATATTGGTTTCAAAGCAATGTTTTGATACAGTTTTGATACACTATTTTGACAGTGAAAATAGGATATATCATAAGTGGTGGTTACAGTCTCCAGAGCAGCCATTAAACAAAACAATTAAAACAAATCATATTAAAAGACAGACTGAAAATTGTGCATCAGAGCACACACCAACAACGTAGTGATGACAATCATAAACATACATAGCCATCTACATTTCTGACAAGAATATAAGTCATGCCGTGGCTATCTATCTATCACTTAGTCAAAGTGAATATGTGAGATGTTGACCCAAAAGAGGCTAGAGTTAGTTTTTTTGCTCCCTGATCTCTTTCTGCATAAACTATAACACTCAAATCAAGCACCTGTGAACACTAACCGCTTTCATAGAAAGTAGACCTTTATTTTTACCTAATCTCAGAATGATTGTCTCAACCCCAGAAGGTATTGAGAATACAACACAGTTTGTTTGTGTCCACTAGGTCAGGATGGAAATCGGCAGAAAAGCAGAGAAGAGGACCACCTGGGTTCTGTGGGGTGGACTGGCCTACATGGCCACTCAGTTTGGGATTCTGGCCCGGCTCACCTGGTGGGAGTACTCTTGGGACATTATGGAGCCAGTCACCTACTTTATCACCTATGGTAGCGCAATGGCAATGTATGCTTACTTCGTAATGACACGTCAGGTAAGACTTGCCCTCTGTGTTGCGATCATCTTAATGATAGATTTAGCTCATGCAAAGTTTTGAAAAGCATGCCCTTTGGACACCGTCCTGCCCCCTTTCACGATACCTTTATTTCTCTTCCCCCAAAACACACCAAACTTCCCCATTCACTGCTGGTGGCATGAACATGAAAATTACCCTCATCTGTTACTGGATATGCACGAGCTACTCATAACTGAGGTGGTATCTTGCTGGTTGAGGAAGTGTACTATTAGTCTGCCATGATAAAACAGAACTATCAGTAGGTGTTCTCTGTGCATGTGATTAGCTTATAATAACTTGGAACTAGATCAGCCTGGAACCTTATTCCTGCAGATCAAGGAGGGTCCTTACCTTATAGATCACGGCAGGAAAGTTAGAAGAATGTGTTTGATTGGTTCTTTTCCTGGTTTTACTGCCCAGGTCTTTCTTATTTGGGAAGTAGGGTAATTTCTCATGTCTCTGATCTCCCACATATTTTAAGGAGTAATAAGAGCAGCACTTTGAGGGGATGGATGAGAAGTACAATAATAGTTGTAGTGCCCATCCAGCTCCCTCTCCATCAGACCACCTTCCTTGTCCTTTCTGCCTCTCTGCGCCCCCTTTCTCAGCAATCCAAGGCTGTAGAAAAACCCGTTCATACTCACCTGTTTGAAGATTTGCAATTCTTTTCCAAATACTTGTCTATATGTATTCCACTGTGAGTGCATGTGCATCCCATGTAGTCTATTGGTGTCTTTCGGCCAGCAGCGTCCACTAGGACCGTGCATATGCTTTGTGTTCCTGTGCTCCTGTGGTTCCTTCTCACCAGCCAGGGCTACAAGATGGAGCTTCTCAGTGTACACCTCTTTACTCATCCCTTTCTTGCTTTTCTGTAAATATTTATGTACATATTAGAGTTAATTAGTTTGAGATAGTTTGGTAGTTGCCAATTGGCAACATGTTGATAGTTTTTATAAATTTCTTAATTTTTCTTTTTTTCTTTTCTGATCAGGAGTTTGCCAGTACTAGAACTTAATAATGTCCCCTCCCTAAGCCTCCTGTCTTTAAGTCTTGCCCCGCTTGCAAAGTGGCAATTCCAATAAATGATGGGCACATAAGATGTCTTTTTTGTTTAGGGGAAGCATACATCCCTGACATGTGGGTGGTGTGTAAGTCCTTTTCTAAAAGGATCTTAAAAGCTGGGAAAGCACATTTGAAAATGTTCATTGGAGTGCTCCATGCAGCCAGCCTTCAATCCAGGCAGTGCAGATCTTCGACAAGTTTCACCTCAGCCCATTAGTGCCCTGTGACTTCCACATCCACTAGCTCCCATGTTTCGTCTTTGAAGACCATGCCTTCTTTGGACTCAGCTAGAACTGTTAAATCCAAGTCCTCAGACAAAATGGAAAAGCAGGGGCAGATCCCCAACAGGAATTCCCAGTAAGAAGAGATCTAAATCATCTCACCTTTCTCATTCAATGGAGACTCTCTATATGGCCTGATCTGAGCTCTGAGGACTGCCTTGAGAATTGAAATCAAGGCCCAGGGTATTTGGGATTAGCTCAGAATCAAGGGCTTCAGCACTAGTGATTTATGGTACCAGTTTCCCTAGTACAGCTGTCTTCAGTGCTACTCACTTCTGTACCAAGCACATCAGTACCAGGCACAATCCTGATATTACCTCCTATTGCACTGAAGTTTGTAGCACTGTCCTCTGGATATCAGGGAAGCATGCAGTACTGAAGGCTCTTCAGCTCTCAAAGGAACTAGAATCTCCTCTGCCATCTACATGACTAAGCATTCCTACCTTGGTACCAATACCTTCTACCTCATTAGCACAGAGTGCCTGCCAGGGGCTGATGTCTTGTAGGATCACTATGCAACCTAACACTCCAACTTCAGCAGCCTACTCCCTTAGGCCTAAAATGGTCCTTTTCATGCTTTGACTTAAACACAATGGGGAGGGCTTCCCTACTTATTCTCCAAGGGCTTTTTCTATTGAATATTATGAATTCGAGAGGTCTGGGTTTCAGGGTGGGGTTGAGCGTAGGCATATGTCATAATACCCTTCTTCGTGGCACAGCCCCTTTCCCATACAGTGTTCCTATGTGGCCCTATTAGAACCTCTAGAGTCTTCACTGCCCAGGTCATCACACCGCCGCACCTCCTCCTAGGACGAGAACCTTCTCCATGCCTGGAGCCTAGGGTGTTTCAGATTGCAGTACATGAACCTGTGACCCATGAGTAATTTTCCCAAGAGGAACACCTTCAAACTGAGGGTCAGGCATTAGCCGTGGGTATTTTGTCCTCATCCCTAGATGAGGTGGTGGTCCTAGCTGCACAGTCTCACCCAGAAGGCTACAAGGACTTTTAAGACCTGCTCAGAGAACAGCCAATTCTCTGAGCTATAAGAATCCTCTCAAACTTTTTTTTAAACAGTAACATTTCAAAGAGGATCTGCAAGCAGTTTGGACATCACAACCATGATATTCTGCTGCGGGGGGAATGGGATAGATTTGAACTTGGAAATGATTCCTGATTTTGATTGTATTTTTTGTGTATTATATTATTGAAGATCGCCTCATCCAGGGGGCAGAAAAGAACTGCTCAGGCTTTGGTAACCCGCCCCAACAACCTTAAGTGAAATTAACAAGGAAGCCAGAAATAGCCCCTCATTCCCTGGTTCAGACCAGGGAGTGAGCAGCTAAATTTAAACTGTTCTTATGCAGAGAGCAGGCATCTTAGAGAGGCTTCTCCCTCAGCCAGTCTCCCTGCTACAAGCTAGAGGGGAGCCGCTGCAGCCCCTGCTGGGGCGGCGGGGAGAGAGCCTAGCCGCGTGGGGAGCCTGGCTGGAGGAGGAAGGAGGAGAGAAACCACAAACAAATGTGACAGTGAGTTTTCCTTTTCCAAACTTTTATTAGCTTTTAGTTTGAATTTTTTGTTCTGCAGTCAAAAGAGGTGAAAGTGAGCCAGTACTGAATGCTCCACTTCTTTGCCAGTACACTACTGCATCTTTTTTTACCGGTATTCCGGACCGGACCGGCTTACTTTCACCTCTGGGCACAAGTCTGTGGGACTCTGACTCAACTCTAAATGTACATATAAATGTTCTCAGCACAGTTCACAAACCTGTGCTATCTTTCTACCATTGAGTCAAAGACTGACTATCCAAGTGATAACAGACAGCACCTCCATACTGAGGGTGTCTGGAGATAAGTGTTTTTGGCCACTGTTGGAAGACAGGCTACTGGGCTAGATGGACCTTTGATCTGACCCAGGATGGCCGGTCTCATGTAACAAGCATCTCAGCTTCTGTTCCAGAAGGGATTTATGCCTAGGATCCTATTGGATGCATTTCTGATACTGTGGTCCTTGGGACTGATGTATACTAATTCTTCAATCCCTTGGATTCCCACACATCTTTTGGCAGAGCTTTGCCATAATTTTTATTTAAGTAGGCTCCAAGTACCCACTGCTTTCACATCAAAACACTGCTTGTGAGTCACGAAGAGCAGAATACATATGGACAAGCACTTGAAGAAAAGTTATTTACCTTGCAGAGGTGTTATATGTATTCCACAACCCACCCTTCTTCCTGTTACTATGGAGTCCTTACCATCTGGATTCTGCAGTGAAGGAACTTAGTGGCAGTTGCGGCCACTCCACACTACGCTCTCAGTACAGGAGCCCAAAGACATGTAAGGCACAGATTAAGCCCCAGCAGACATGACTGACCAAAAGACTCCAATCTCAACACATAGGGCACATGCACCCCAAGAGTGGACTATAGATAGATAACACATCACTCCAGTTTCTGTAAAATATAGTGACTTTTCTGGTGACCTTCTCCTCCAAAGAGGCTAGGAACTAGGCAGTGGAGCTGTTGAGCTTCTCTAATTACCTGTCTCTAGCCTAAAGCTCCTCTTTGCAGCCTAATTAGCTGATTGGGCCCATCTGGGCCTAATTCAGTTCTTGCATGGCCAGTGCCGGGGAGGACACCCTATCACATGCGGATATGCCAGCATCCCAAAAAAAACCCACGGTTTGATGGTTTGGCATACTTAACTCTTCCTTCTCAAAAGAGTCCCAAATTTAGGGCATGAGGGGGGCTACTGCAAGTCAGGATTGAGGTTCAGAGACAGGTAAGTGTTGGAGAAGTGGAGTGGCTGCTTGCATTTAGCAAGTAAACCCACACTTCAATACCAGTAACAATTCAGCCCCTCCAATATATGCTAAGCTTGTAGCAGCCTGTGTTTGGAAGTTTTTAATTCTTATCTCTGCCTCCCCCCCTCCCCCTTCTCTGCAGGAGTATATTTACCCAGATGCCAGAGACCGACAGTACTTATTATTTTTCCATAAAGGAGCCAAAAAGACACGTTTTGACCTAGAGAAATACAATCAACTCAAGGATGCAATTGCTCAGGTAATTCAAAGTTTTGCCGGAGTGAAAACGAAAGAACTTGCTCCCCCACTTGTGTTTTTAACCATTATTGATGGGTGCACTTCAAACGAAAGTAGAATGATAGTCTCTGTCTTAGTTTGGGTTTCCAGTCTACTTTCTTGTCATAGCCATCAATAAACCGTTAATTGGATTTAGTATTTTGGCATGCGCTATGCATAAGCAAACAGGTGCAACTGCTGTTCAAAGATGGAGTCTGAAAAAGGAGCCATGTATCTGTAAGAGCTTCTGAGAAATTGACAAACCTTGCATCTTTTTAGAGGTGCTTGGAGCACTTTATGCCTCAGAAGGTCTGAGGCTAGTTTTCCTCCTTTCTCTGCTTCTGTCCACCTACATACTATGGATCTACTAAGGGCTGAAGACTTTTCATCCACTCAGTTCATGTCTCCCTGGGTGTGTCTTAATAAGAACATAAGAGGGAAGATCCTTTCATGGACTGAGAACTGGTTAAAAGACCGGGAACAAAGGGTAGGAATAAATGGTAAATTTTCAGAATGGAGAGGGGTAACTAGTGGTGTTTCCCAAGGGTCAGTCCTAGGATCAATCCCATTCAACTTATTCATAAATGATCTGGAGAAAGAAGTAAACAGTGAGGTGGCAAAGTTTGCAGATGATACTAAACTGCTCAAGATAGTTAAGACCAAAGCACACTGTGAATAACTTAAAGATTTCACAAAACTAAGTGATTGGGCAACAAAATGGCAAATGAAATTTAATGTGGATAAATGTAAAGTAATGCACATTGGAAAAAATAACCTCAACTATATATACAATACAATGGGATCTAATTTAGCTACAACTAATCAGGAAAGAGATCTTGGAGTCGTCATAGATAGTTCTCGGAAGACATCCATGCAGTGTGCAGTGGCAGTCAAAAAAAGGAAACAGGATGTTAAGAATAATTTTTGAAGGGATAGGGATAGAGAATAAGACAGAGAATATCTTATTGCCCTTATATAAATCCATGGTACGCCCACATCTTGAATACTGCGTACAGATGTGGTCTCCTCATCTCAAAAAAGATAAACTGGCATTAGAAAAGGTTCAGAGAGGGGAAGCTAAAATGATTAGGGGTTTGGAGCAGGTCCCATATGAGGAGAGATTAAAGAGGCTAGGCCTTTTCGCTTGGAAAAGAGGAGACTAAGGGGGGATATGATAGAGGTATATAAAATCATGAGTGGTGTGGAGAAAGTGAATAAGGAAAAGTTATTTACTTGTTCCCATAATAAAAGAACTAGGGGCCACCAAATGAAATTTAATGGGCAGCAGGTTTAAAACAAATAAAAGGAAGTTCTTCACACAGCACACAGTTAACCTGTGGACCTCCTTGCCCGAGGAGGTTGTGAAGGCTAGGACTATAACAGGGTTTAAAAGAGAACTAGATAAATTCATGGAGGTTAAGTCCATTAATGGCTATTAGCCGGGATGGGTAAGGAATGGTGTCCCTAGCCTCTGTTTGTCAGAGGATGGAGATGGATGGCAGGAGAGAGATCACTTGATCATTACCTGTTAAGTTCACTTCCTCTGGGGCACCTGGCACTGGCCACTGTCGGTAGACAGGATACTGGGCTGGATGGACCGTTGGTCTGACGCAGTATGGCCATTCTTATGTTCACGCCACCTGTCTCAAGGAGGTTACAAGTGGTTATAAGAAAACTCAACAAAAATGATGGTCCCTGGTCAGAAGGGATTATAGCTGTTGAGTGTCATTTTGCAAAGACTTCACAATGGTAGTTCCTTGACTTTTTGTATTGTTTTTTGTTTGGGTTTTTTTTAAGACACTAGTTTGTCTCAGTGGATTCTGGCTTCTGTTAAGTTAATTTTTTAATGGTTGAATACCAGAACAGATGAGTAGTGTTCTAGGTGTAGAAAGCTGTCAGTAAGTGACTATAATGACCAGAATATCTGTTGCTGATGCTCAGACTGTGACTTTGAGACTTCCTCTTTGGATATTTACTCTTATGGCACCCGTGGGTTGGAGGGCAGGCACTGGCAATTGAAGATGTTTAAGAAACCTGTCCTTTATACTTTATCTTTATTTTTAGGCAGAATTGGATCTTAAGAGACTTCGAGACCCACTGCAGGTTCACCTGCCTGTCCAGCAAATCAATGATAAAGACTGATCAGCAAAGAATGTCTGAATCCCAGCAAAAAGAGAACCTGTTCATAGCTCTTCCCTTTTTAATTAAAGCATTTAATTAAAGGTGGAAGCTGGGAGGTAGTGTGGGGGTGGAGGGTTTTTACCTTTAATTTAAAACAAAAAAGGACTGTGGGGGGAAAATCTCTTAAATCTGAAGATCGGGCATTGTGGAATGTTAGCCTCAAAAAGGGCTTGGCAAATATTGTCACATGCAAGCATTTATATCTGGATGAAAATGGTGTACAAATACAAGATTGGGGGTTTTCATAATGAGAATGTAATGCTGGGGGGGGGCTGTCTTCTTCCAGCTTTGCAGGGTCTGCCTCTCAATAATGCACCAGCAGCCTGCTGAGCTCTTTTTTAAATTTTTTCCTTTTTTGATTTTTGACACACACCAATAACAAAGCGCACCAAAAAAACCAAGCCATCTGGAGCTATGGCTGGTGATCAGACAATGAGCTCCATCTCCATTAACACACAGTCCTGGTCAGAACTGGTATCTTTTTTGTAAAGTTACTGCAAGACTGCCTTCTACTGAAAATCATGAGTTTCCCCTGCCCACCCCCATGCCCTTCACTGACTTCTTCCATTACTTGTTGGTTACGCTGATGAGTTTTATCCAAATCAGAAATGGAACTATCTTTGTTCTAAATGTTTGATAATGGACACTTTGGATTATTCCTTAATACCTTCTTCAACTATGAAGTGTCCCAGTGCTCTAGAGCTACTTCTAGAAATAATGGCAACATTGCATGAGAGTTTTTGTACTCAGTCTTAAGGGAGGAAGGTTTTCATCTCTCCCACCCCAAATCTGGTAGCCACCTGGATTACCAAACCTTGAAGGTTTCAAGGATTAGGAAATTGACTCAGAATCATGACTCTTACTTAACCAAGCAGTTTCAGGATGGGAAAAATTAAATTTGATTAAGTTTGACTGCTTGTGTAATGGGATAAATGGTCTCATTTATGGTACACTGCTATATCTGCAGGCTTTGTCAAAGGCCAGGGTTCCTGTAGCAAAAGATACAGAATTGCACTTTGATTTGCTAGCCTGCTCCCTTATTTAGATAGCTTTCAGTGAACTCTGATGCCCAAGGGTAGGATTTCTTAGTGCAGGCTAATTGCATTCCCCCATTCTTATTTAAAAAAAGATATTGGGTTTGGAAAACCGACACATTGCTTTCCAGCTTGCCTGAAACTAGCTGATTTGTAAGCAGATAACTACATTCAAAATGGATCCCTCGTCCTGTTGATAAATATTGTGGAAACAGGATGGAAGTGGGAATAGGGCTCCATACATAACACACAAAAAGATGGGGGTTCCTCTTGACAGTTCATTCTTACTTCTCACTGTGTCTTGACGAGAGGCTCCAGTTTTTGGAGAACCATGTTTAAAAAAAGAACAACAAAAAAACTAAACCAATATTAAGATGCCAGGTGCCTTGCAGATATGGAAAAACAGATGGGATTGTTGCTGCCTCTCCTCACTCGGTGGCATATTGGACCGAATGGATGCATGTTTCTAATTTTTTCTCCCCACGTTTTCCCTCTCTTTTTGTTTTAATTACATTATGTGGGTTATTTTTTACCTGTTTTATCCTGTTTGCGTGCTGAGTTTTAAAGGGAAAGAAAACTAACACAGTCTTGTAGCTGAAACCTTACTGTGTGTTTGGGGTGAGGGAGGGGCATGGAGAAAAATCCTTACTTAAAAGAAAAAAAACCTGAACATGTGTAAAATCCTGTATCATTTATGAAATATGTATAAAGCAATGTACTTCTGGAACAATAAATAATTATTCAGTTTTTGAACTCGTGTTCTTAAAAAACTTTTTCTCCAGTTGAGGGGGGAGCGTCCCTCATGCTGCAGCTGAACTCCTAATTTCCCCTTATTTCTTTTCATTCAAATTGCATTTCCCTGACTTTATCTCATTTGAGACCATTTTGATGCAGGCACCAACCTTCCTGCTCAGACTCAAATGGAGCTGTCACCATCTTATGTCATACATGAGATACATCAACAGTGCTTCTGTCAAAGCTTTGTGCTACTGTTACCACCTTTGTTGTGAACAGTAGACGTCACTGTAGGGGTTGAGGAAATCTGGGGACACCTTGGCAAGCTGGAACTCCAGCATAACAATATACCCAGGGAGCAGCTCATCCGGAATGCAGCCACCTGCGTCCTTAGACCTCGAGCCATCCCAGCATTTTTAATTTTAAAGGCTCTCCATTGGAATTGGGCATTCAGAGATTTAAAGCCTTTTAAGACTTTAGTGGCTGTGTTGCAGTTTGTTTGACACAAACATTTACCTGCTATTCGTGGCTGCTTATTAAGATCATAATTAGCAGGGTATTTAGTTTGTTCTGGTTACAGTCTCAACACACTAGATTCCAGAGGACTTTCTCCTGTTTGGTTGTGGAATAGATTATTGGCTAGTATTCACACACTCAGCCCCTTTTAGGGTTTAAAACCAGGTGAACGCGTCTGTTTTTACCGATCTGTAGTTGCGGTCAATTTTTATAAAGTTTAATTGTTCGGTAACAGCAGCTTTTTCCCAATACGGTAGTTGGATTAGTTCCTAACCTCATCTGGACACACCGACCTGGAACATACTTTACATAAAGAACTGGGCAGAAGTGGCATCCAAAAGTATTCTGGGCCTACCTCTGGTAGCCACTAAAAGCTAAAATCCTGAATCACAAGGCAAGGAAATACCATGAAAGAACTTTTCCCTACCGCCTTTATCATTCCAGAGGAGAGTCCGAGGGAGGAGGTGAGGTGAAGTTACTGATTCTACACTCTTCTACTGGGGTGGTTATCTGTTCTGGTGTTCCTGTACGTCTGTTTCCTGCAAGTTGTCCTGATCTGATTGATTTTCCCTGCCCATTAGCCCCACCAAAATGCACATCTGATTGACACAAGGAGGAGGGTACCGCTACCATGTTACAGTCTGAGAAGTGCCAAAAAACTCAGAGCTCCTGCCACTTTTTTGCCTGTAATTTCTCTTCACTTTAAAAGCCAAACAGGTAGTAATGAAATTTCTAGTTGTTACCAATTTAAGCATAGGCAACATTGCCTGATGCAACACTGCATGCACCAGCTCCAGTGTAATCTGTCACCAGCAAGATGGAAGCAGCTGCAATTATGGGACCTGTTGCCTTAGTTCATCTGCTAACCCTAACCTGGAGGTCTGTCCATCCAGAGTTGCCTCTAACCTTTCTCCTCTCCTTATAGGTAGCAGTGATGTTGTTCCATAGACCAGCTGTTAGTCATCCATTTTATAACAAGCAGCTGCCTTTGCAGTTCTCACATTTCTCTAACATACAAACTCCAGTGTCTTTTCTGTAATATGGCAGAACTGCCCTAGGCTGGTAAGCAATCCTGAAGCTGCTGTTGGCTCAGGATATCTTGTACCACACCCCATCAAGTAAAGTGGGTAGATTTCCTCTACTAACTGAGCTATTGGATCACATTATTTAACTCTTTATATTTTTGTTTGAGTTGAAAGCCATGCTGTATGTGTGGTTAGACCGTGTGCGCCAGTGGCCTTAATCTTAATTTTGTGCTCTAGCAAACTAGAAACTTAATTTAAAAAAAAGAGCAATGGTGAGCATTTCCCATAAAACAATGTTGCCACTGAATCCTGGAAACTCTAGCCAGTTCACCCTACATAATCATTCCTGATCTCTCACTGACATCCTTGTTTTAGATCCTTAAGTGCAGAAGGCCAGACCAGAGCATTCTTCGATGTATATGACAAGGGTGGCAAATTTTGGTTTCCACATCTAGAGCATTAGAGGCAGGTACCAGTCTGTAGCCTTGCCTGCATGATCCAAGGGGCCGGATACTGAAATAGGAGGTAGGTTCCAGTCCCAGTTCTGCCATTGCCTAGCTTTGTGATCTCGGGCAAGTTCAAGTTCTCTGTGCCTCAATTTCCACATCTGTAAATTGGGGAAATTTATTTTACCTTATAAAGTGCTTTGATCTCTATGGATGAATATTGTCTAGGTGCTAATTAGTATAATTAAATTTCCAATAGAATATTTGCCAAATGGGGAATGGAATAATCCCCTCCCCTCCCCGATCCTAAACTCAGGGCTGACTGTACTGCCTCCTCAACACTTTGTTTTTAATCTTTGTGACCTTTAAATTTAGATTACTTGTTCTTCACACGTGTGGTTCAAGTTCCATAGTTGTGCCAAATGAAGGGCTATTAAAATCTTGTGAATTCAGTCTAGGTGGAGCATGAATGCTCTGTCCTGGGACAGCTTGTTTACAGAAACAAGAGCTATCTAAGTAGAAGTCCTTGACACACTCCCAATTAATCTTGGCACCATGTCCAGGCTTATCTGGAGCACACATCCTCCAGTTAACTACGGATGGGGATCTTACAGCATGTGTCAGGCTGTCAATGGCTTCCCAGCATCAGGAAGTGCTGATCTGCTTTTTCTTCCACCTTCTGCCAGCCAGGGGCTCTCAGGCCTGCCAGGATCATTTCTGCTGTGAAAGATTTCATTAGCTCAAACAGCCACCGGTGTCGTGTTTCCATCTAACTTTCATGTGTTACAAGGATGATTCTGGCAAAGTTACCTAAACTCAACAATAGCAAATAGTGAAATGGTGCAATGAGTGGATGCTCCTGTGTAGATAATCTGCATGATCCTTTCTGATCTGACTAAATAGAGGAGGAGGCTGAGCTGTCTGTATAAGGTTAGTAAATCAAACACATTGCATCTTGACTTGTGAGTACTGGCTGGTGCCTGCAAAACAGTATAATTGGATACACTTCAAATGGCTCAGTCATTTCTTCTGCCATGAACTGTCATAAAATGGTACTTGGCAGGAAATACCTCACCACTCAACAGCACGCCCTCTACACTGACAATAGGACTGATAGGCTTTGATTAGATACTATCTTATGAAAGGTTTCAGAGTAACAGCCGTGTTAGTCTGTATTCGCAAAAAGAAAAGGAGTACTTGTGGCACCTTAGAGACTAACCAATTTATTTGAGCATAAGCTTTCGTGAGCTACAGCTCACTTCATTGGATGTCAAGGTTCCTCCCCCACTCTGAACTCTAGGGTACAGATGTGGGGACCTGCATGAAAACCTCCTAAGCTTACTTTCACCAGCTTAGGTTAAAACTTCCCCAAGGTACAAATTAATTTTATCCTTTGTCCCTGGATCGCCACTGCCACCACCAAACTCTAACTGGGTTTACTGGGAAACGTAGTTTGGACACGTCTTTCCCCCCAAAATCCTCCCAACCCTTGCACCCCACTTCCTGGGGAAGGTTTGGTAAAAATCCTCACCAATTTGCATAGGTGACCACAGACCCAAACCCTTGGATCTGAGAACAATGAAAAAGCATTCAGTTTTCTTACAAGAAGACTTTTAATAGAAGTAAAGAAATCACCTCTGTAAAATCAGGATGGTAGATACCTTACAGGGTAATTAGATTCAAAACATACAGAATCCCTCTAGGCAAAACCTTAAGTTACAAAAAAGACACACAGACAGGAATAGTCCTTCTATTCAGTACAGTTCTTTTCTCAGCCATTTAAAGAAATCATAATCTAACACATAGCTAGCTAGATTACTTACTAAAGTTCTAAGACTCCCATTCCTGGTCTATCCCCGGCAAAAGCAGCATACAGACAGACACAGACCCTTTGTTTCTCTCCCTCCTCCCAGCTTTTGAAAGTATCTTGTCTCCTCATTGGTTAGTCTCTAAGGTGCCACAAGTACTCCTTTTCTTTTTATCTTATGAAAGTGCCTTCATAGGACTTTGCAGCTCATCACTATTGGATGGATGCCTAAGCAAACTCCAAACCCCCATGTAATAAGGGTATTCATGTGCCTTTCACTTTTCTTTCCTCCCCTGAATTTCAGCTTCCATATACCAATAGCTCCAGGCAAACCTAGTTTGGATCTAAACCTTCCCTGGCCGGGGGGGGTCACAATTCTAGCTTATCCATGATTACATTTGGACCAGGCTGCAGGGGAGAGGAAGTGGGTGGCAGGTATGATCATGCTAGGTGACCAGATGTCCTGATTTTATAGGGACAGTCCCAATATTTGGGGCTTTCTCTTATATAGGTGCCTATTACCCCCACATAGAATCATAGAATATCAGGGTTGGAAGGGACCTCAGGAGGTCATCTAGTCCAACCCCCTGCTCAAAAGCAGGACCAATCCCCAATTAAATCATCCCAGCTAGGGCTTTGTCAAGCCTGACCTTAAAAACTTCTAAGGAAGGAGATTCCACCACCTCCCTAGGCAACGCATTCCAGTGTTTCACCACCCTCCTAGTGAAAAAGTTTTTCCTAATATCCAACCTAAACCTCCCCCACTGCAACTTGAGACCATTACTCCTTGTCCTGTCCTCTTCTACCACTGAGAATAGTCTAGAACCATCTTCTCTGGAACCACCTCTCAGGTAGTTGAAAGCAGCTATCAAATCCCCCCTCATTCTTCTCTTCTGCAGACTAAACAACCCCAGTTCCCTCAGCCTCTCCTCATAAGTCATGTGTTCCAGACCCCTAATCATTTTTGTTGCCCTTCGCTGGACTCTTTCCAATTTATCCACATCCTTCTTGTAGTGTGGGGCCCAAAACTGGACACAGTACTCCAGATGAGGCCTCACCAATGTCGAATAGAGGGGGACGATCACGTCCCTCGATCTGCTCGCTATGCCCCTACTTATACATCCCAAAATGCCATTGACCTTCTTGGCAACAAGGGCACACTGCTGACTCATATCCAGCTTCTCGTCCACTGTCACCCCAGGTCCTTTTCTGCAGAACTGCTGC